TGTGCCCAGAGGGCGGGGGGGGGGGGAGGGTAGAAGGAAGGTGTCCTTTACTGGAACAGGTTTGACCTGAGGTTATCAAGTAGGGGGAGGCAGAGGGGTTAGGTCTTGAGGTAGATGTTTCTGGAGGAAGAAGGAGTGGCACGGAGGTGTTCGGACAAAGCCCTTTGAACCAGCAACTCTGTCCACCAAAGGACCACCTTTTCTGTGATCATGCAAACAAAACGTTTGAGGCTCCTCTTTGTCTTTGCCTGTTCCACAGTACAATCTTAACTGGACTTTGGCATAACCAAAAGGCTCACTAAAGTGCCCCAAACAAAAGATCACTGTGTCCTGAAAGGTAAATTCTGCCTCCACTTCCTCAGAAACAGAAAAGGCACGGGAAGCTTCAGACCAGCAGTTGATCCTGGCTTCCAGTCCTGAAGGTTACAGAATGTTGGGGTTCAAGGCCGTAGTGCCGATCGAATGTTTCCATGTGAATATAATTTGACCCTGCAGTTTCACTAATCCATGCTCTGGTAATACTCACAGAAATATATGCATATCAGTTCTTTGGCTTTTCTCTTCCTGCTCCCCCCTTCCCTCGGAGGCTGTCAATCTGTTCCCTACTTCCATGTATCTGGGTCTGTTTTGTTCGCCAGCTTATTTTATTCATTAGATTCCACAGATAAGTGAGATCATGGGATATTTATCTTTCTCTGATTGAACTTATATGCATATGTGCATAACCAACAGACAGACAACAGTATGGTGAAGATGGAGGTGGATGGGAGCGGGGTGGAGGGTGTCCACGGTGGGAAAAGGAGGGACCTCTGTAAAAAAATTAATTAATAAAAAGAAAAACATATGTAGACTATGAAAGAAATAAATATATAGTGCAGCATTGATAGTAATATTAAACAGTTGTGAACAATTTGAATGTACGTCAGTTAGGCTATAACTGAATAAATTGAACAACACAGTTAAACTGCACGGGTCCACTTATACACGGATTTTTTTTCAGTAAATCTTGTAAGTGTATTTTGTCTTCCTTATGATTTCTTTTCTTTTCTTTCTTTTTTTTTTTTGTGGTACATGCCCCTAGCGGGAACCGAACCCAGGACTCTGTGGTCCGCAGGCCAAGGCTCAACCACTGAGCCAAACTGGCCAGGGCTTCCTTATGATTTCTTAATAACTGTTTCTCTAGTTTGCCTTATTGTAAGAATCCAATACATAATACATATAACAAAATATGTGGTCATTGACTATTTATGTTGTCACTAAGGTTTCTGGTCAACAGTACGCTATTAGTTAAGTTTGGTGACAGTCAAAAGTTATATGTGGAAATCATAAGGAAGACAAAATACACTTACAAGATTTACTGAAAAAAAAAAATCCGTGTATAAGTGGACCCGTGCAGTTTAACTGTGTTGTTCAAGGGCCAACTGTACATGGAACTGAGTCTGGAAGGATACATACTAAAAATACTAACTCATTATGTCTGGGTACTGGGATGGGGAAATGATACAGGAGTGCCTAATGAAAAAAGTTAAAGATGTGTAAAAATCATGTGTTTTTTTTTTATCCTCACCCAAGGATATTTTTCTGTTTATCTTCAGATAGAGCGGGAGGGAGGAAGAGAGAGAGAGAAACATCAATGTGAGAGAGACACATCAACTGGTTGCCTCCCGAATGACCCCAACGGGGGCTGAGGACAAACCACAACCAAGGTCTGTGCCCTTGGCTGGAATCGAACCTGGGATTCTTTGGTCCACGGACCGACACTCTACCACTGAGCCACACTAGCCAGGGCTCATGTGTTACTTTTATAATTACAAAACTATAAACTCATCAGCTTTCTTTGCCTCTCGAGCACTTTCCTTTCCTGTGGAATTTGCAATTGTATTATAAATTTTTTTGAGAGACACACTGCACGCGATACTTACCTTATCTTTTCCCTGAACAAAACAAAACTCAATTTTGTAAGCCAAGAACAGCAGTTTCAGATTTTATTGGGCATAAGAATCACCATATTTAATGATTAAAAAAAAAAAAGAATCACCTTGCTGCTTGCTGAAAATGCAGACTCCTGAGCGAAAATGCAGACTCCTGAGCCTGCTGAGAAGGTTGTGAGTCAGTGTCTCGAGTGGGGTCCAGGATCTTCCCGAGGTACTCCAGGTGGTCTGTGAGAAACCCCAAGTTCTATGAATGGCGACTGTGTCCCCTCCCCCACTACTCTCTGTGATCAGCAAAGGGAAGAGGGATGTGATGACTCACCATGGACATCTTTGTGGGTCCCAAATGGCTGGGTTCATCTGAATGGGAAAAATGAATAAAACACATTTTAAGTACACCTGAGAGTTTAGTAATAAGTGTTGTTGCTTTAAAATAGCCTATTTGAAGTGAGCTGTTTGGGATAGAGTGGAAGGGGAGGAGGGACCTTGGCAAACTGTGAGGCCTTAGAATTCAGATGATTTTTTAAAATCCTCACCTGAGGCTATGTTTATTGAGAGAGAGAGAGAGAGAGAGAGAGAGAGAGAGAAATATCGGTATGAGAGAGAAACATGGATCGGTTGCCTCCCATACGCCCCGACCAGGGATCAAACCCATAACCCAGGCACGTGCTCTGACCGGAATCAAACTGGTGACCTTTGGCGAAAAGTGTCAGATTCAGATTATTTTTATGTGAAGCTTCTTTTCTCGGAAAATGCTGCCTCTGATATTAAGACTATTCTAAATAGTTTTTATGTTAGAATGAGTTTTTTTTTTCTTTGTTATAAACAATGTCTGTTAATCAGATGCCCACTGTGGGTTATTAACATCTCAATGATTAACCTTGGTAAGAAAGTAAATGGGAATACTTCTTAACTACCTTTCCAAGCCCTCAGTGAAGCTGGCAGCCATCAGTTAAATAAACCATTAGGTTTATTAGTTTGCGAACAGAAGCATCGACTTGGGCACAGTTTTCTAATTTGCTCCTCATTTACCCAACAATCATTTATTCAGAGGCTACTCTGTGCCTCGTGGACATTAGAGAACTCGACAAGTAAAAGCCAGAGACCCGATGAGCATCTGGGACTCTAAGGGGATCATCTGAATGGGAAAAAAAATGAATAAAACACAATTTAATACACTGGAAAGCTTGGTAGCATGTAAAAAACAGAAAGTGGAGTCCTTCAAGTAATAGCCTTGTTCTCTTTCTGGAGCCTATTTTAAGTGGGCCCTCTGGCCCAGCATTATCAACCTTGGATTAGGAGCTTTGAGGAAATGGTGGTTTGGTGGTTGTTTTTTTAAAGGATTTTTTAAGTAACGTAGTTACTAAGCAACTGCTGTGACCTGCTGCTAAGTTGGAGTTCAGCAGGCAAGTCAATTCCAAAGAAGGGAATATATAAACAAGTTGCGAGAGGGGAAAAATGGCTTAAGGGTAGATTGGATGTATTTTTTTCTGCGTATTTCTGCCTTTTAGTTATCTTCCCCAAGAAAGGGCTGCCTGGTCAGGAATCTCTTTGTGGCACCCAGTTCTGCTCTTATACGGGGCGTGAGAAGGAAAGCCTGAAAGGAGCCAGCTAGAGAGGGCCAGGGTGGAGGGCCAAGCCCGGGGGTGGGGCCAGTGCCCAGGCCAGCTCCTGGGCAGTCCAGGGCTTCTGTGACAGATCGGTCACCACCCTCTACCTTTAGATTGGGGCACCTTGTTGATATCGATGTGTTGCCAGGTAACCCTCAGAACAGGGACATTGTCCAGCTGCTGCCCCCCCCAACATTTAATGGGTGACTCAGTGGCTTAACTACTTCCTGTAGGATTTCAGGGACAGGATAGGTAGTGAGGACAGATCACCACAATCCCAGTGCTTGAAGAATGAGAGAGCACACGAACCTAACCAGTTGTTGGCTCCACTGGTACCAGCGGGAACAAAAAGAAACTTTGTTGAGAAGAGGTTGTTTTTGTGAGTGAGAACCAGGTTCCTCCCCTTTAGGCTTTTTAGCATTTCCCTTTATGCCCAGCTGAAGGTCAGGTTGCTTCGCTGAGGGAAGGGGGGTGTCAGGTGTTGGAACAGGTGTTTTGTTTTCTGCGGGTGCAGTCACACAGACTGCATGGGGATGCTTCTTGCCAGCCCTCCACGGTGCCCGGAAACGCTTTTGTGGAATTCTTCTTCCCTGGAAATGTGTTTGTGTTTTTTTCAAGCCGTTCCCCAACCTTCAGTCCCCAGAATAAATTTGGATTTCCTTTCATATCAGCTGGTCATAATGAGGCATGCGTGTTTTGTGCCGTTTCCACAGCCGGTGCTTAGATCCATCCGTTTAGATACATGCAGCAGCTCCAGCCCTGAAAGCTGTTGTGCACAAACACACAGTCCCCTTCAGCGTGATGGGTGGTTCCGGCGGCTGTGGTGGTGTCTGGGGGCCTCCAAGCTGGGCCCGGATTTCTGATCCCACTGACTGGATGATTGGGGGAAGGGAGGTATTAGCAGACATCTAGGTTTGTGATCTCCTTATCCGATTGTGAGGGTTGTGGGCTCTTACCTAGGTACAGGGTTCCACCATGCCCCCTCAAAAAAGGCATCTAGAAACAAAGCGGCTTCGTGCCTCGGGTCCTGTCCAGCCCCTCCACCCTGCCCTCAGGGCCATCTGTTCTCTGCAGCCCTCTTTTGGGGGAATTCTCCTTTCCCATCTGCTCTCCTTGGGCCTTCGTGCCCGCTCCAAAGATTTATGAAGGCCACCCTGGACCGTGTTTGGAGTTGTTCGTTTTTCAAGGATCTGTGAGACTTCAAGGCAGATAAAAGCCTTCCCAGTTGATGTGTTGAAATGTTACTCCTTTTTTCAGGTGTGTGCTTTCCTTCTGTTAGCGTGGGGGTTGCACAGAAGTCTGCCTTTCTGTGCTTGGAGGAGGGACTCTCCCTATCCAAGCACAGATCTCCTGGGCTGGCTCTGGCCGCTTTGAAGCCAAGTGTCCTCTGGCTCCGGGGCACTGGCAGGCGGCTCAGCGCCGCTCCTTGGCTTCATTCTTTCCCTTGTCTTCCTGACAGAGTACAGCCGCTTTGAGTCGAAGATACATGACTTGCGAGAACAGATGATGAACAGCAGCATGAGCTCTGGGTCTGGGTCCCTCCGGACGAGCGAGAAGAGGTCCTTGTATGTCAGGTGAGTCCCATTTCCGAGCTGCACTGGGGGAGCCCGCGCCAGCCCAGCCCTTGTTTACCCAGTGGGGTGTGCTCCCGGTGCTACAACCCGCTTCGTGCTGTATGCTCGGGTTGTGCCCTTTCTGGTCCGGAGTATCTCCTCCCAGTCAGGAGCTGGCTTGGCTTGTGCCTTTTTGCTCCTGAATGACTCCGTCCGGGACCATTTCAGTTTGCTGCGATGGGAAAGGGCTTTTGTGTGCTCGCTGATACTCAGTATTCAAATAGCACTTGAATGTTCCAAGTACTCTGCTTGCCCGTCTGTAATTCGAGGGGAAGGCCTGGCACCCCCCTTTCGCATGTGCATAACACCCATCAGGCTTTGTATCGGAGCATAACAACTAGCACTGTATTCTGATACAGGGTCGCTTTTAAGAGACCAAGGAACTGACAGATTGTTGCATTCTTTTTTCTTTTTTAAAGTCAAAAAGGTGTGTTCTCTCACTCCCAGCTGCACTGGTGTGCTGTATGGGTCATGGGACAAGGGACAGGATGGTGTGCATTCCCCAGGAGGGTGGGTGGATATACAGTTTTGCGCGCATTTCTGCTGAAACCGATTCCAAGGCATTGTCCAAGGCGGGGCCTCTGACCCTCGAGGCACATTATCATACTTTGTTGGGTCAAAGTACAAGCTCCTGGGAGCTGACTGCTGAGTGAACACTGTGGCCTCCTGCTTGGGTTTCTTGGCAAAACTCCAATACTTGGGGCAAATATGTTGTATGTCTTCAAGGTTAAAACCCTTTGAGAAAGGGGGTGCGATTGTCCCGCGTGAGCCGGGTGCCTCCCTCCCTGGGGGTTTCATGCTTATGTGTCTGGTTGTAGCAAACTCTTGGGTTGAACATACATAATTTTTTTTGGTTAATCCTAACCTGAGGATATTTTTTCATTGATTTTTAGAGATGGAGATAGGGAGGGAGGGAGGGAGGTATAGGAAGGAGAGAGAGAGAGACAGACATCGATGTGAGAGAGACACATCAGTTGGTTGCCTCCCACATGTGCCCCAACTGGGGCTGGGTGTCGAACCTGCAACAGGTACATGCCCTTGACCAGGAATTGAACCCATGACCCTTTGGTGTGCCTGCTGACGCTCCAACCACTGAGCCGCACTGGCCAGGGCATCAGTGGATCTTTTGCTCGTGGCCTCTGATACTGGCTGAGGGTTAGGAGGGGAGGTTGCATATGCTCATTGCCGGGTAACCTGTCAACTGCCCTGTCCTTGGACAGCAAGGCTAATCGCAGCTCCTCTCAGGGTGCTTGATTTTTGTCCTTCACTTGATCGCCCGTCCCTGACCCTACTGCCAGGAGTGGGGCCGAGGGGGCCCAGCTTCGCCTGAAGCCCACTAACCCCTTCATGGTTCTTTCCGAAAAGAAGCCTCAACCCCACTCTCGGTGTTTGGGGAGCAGCTTCTTTCGCAGGTGCCGAGCTCACCTCCCGCTGCGAACGGAGGCTGCAGTGATCTGCGCAGTGTCCTGACGCTGGGGCACTGATGGGGAGAATCAGCAGTGCGCTGTGGCCCCTGCTTATGGGTCCTACTTAGGCGACTTGATCAGGAGCTTTGCGTCTCGCAGATGTGGCACTAGAGTGCATGGGAAGCTACTCTTTAGGCAAGAGTTTCTTCGGCCACCTCTGTTTTCTGATTTCCGCTTTCCGCCTATCCCGTGCTACAGCTCGCCCTGCCTGGGCAGGGGCCGCGGGGCGTTAGCTCCCCAGCTGCAAGACCTGGAACCCCCTTCTCTGGCCCTGGCCAGGAAAGGTCTGGGCAGGAGGGCGGAGATGTACCCTGGTTCTAGTGAAGCAGTTTCTCCAATTTACATAATCTGCCCTAACCCTGATCTTGATAACATCTGTATCCTCTGAGCAAAGTAAACATGGTTGCGAAGAGTGAACATGTGTGATCACTAGACTGAATTTAAAAATAATGTTTCCTGGCTGAAGCCGTGACCTGAGGTCCTTCTCTGAGCTAACCCCTCTGCCAGAGCCGGGCTTGCTCCGTTTCCTTTCGTGCCCATTGGCCTTGCCCTCTGTGCATGGTTCTCTTTCTTCCACATGGAAACATATTCAACTGTCATCTGTTCTGAAAATGAAAAGAAAAGAAAAAAATTCCCTTAATACCGGTAGGCCCATAAAACACCGTCTTGTGTCTCTTTTCCTGCCCCCCACATTCACCCATCTCGGTGCTAGGAAATGCCACTTCCTTAAGAGGTTACATATTGAGTGAAATTGCGGTGCTTCAAGATGAAGCTGGAGGACAGTGTGTTTCATTGCGATGAATCGCCAGGGCGAACTGACCAGGCAGCGTGTCCCCAAAGACAGGAAGGAGCATGGGAGGCTTATTTGAAGAACCCTGTCTTAACATGCAGGTTGGGAAAGGTCAGAGTCACCTGTGCTTTACTTTTTAAAAAAATATGTTCTTATTGATTTTTTTAGAGAGAGGGAGAAACATTGATGAGTGAGAAACATGGATCAGTCGCCTCCTGCACGCCCCCTACTGGGGGGATTGAGCCCGCAACCTGGGCATGTGCTCTGACTGGGAATCAACTGGGACTTCTCAGTCCATGGGACCACGCCCAAGCCACTGAGCCACACCAGACGGACTGTGCTTGAGTCTTTTTTTTTTTTATCTTCACCCAAGGACATTTTTGCATTCATCTTCAGATAGAGCAGGAGGGAGAGAGTGGAGAAAAGAGAGAGAGAAACATCGATGTGAGAGAGACACATCGACTGGCTGCCACTCACATGACCCCAGCCACAGCTGGGGACAAACTGCAATCGAGTTACATGCCCTTAGTGGGAACCAAACCCAGGACTCCCTGGTCTGCAGGCCGATGCTCTAACTGCTGAGTCAAACCGGCCAGGGCTGTGCTTGAGTCTTTTTAGTAGGAAGGGAAGCGCCCAGGTCTGCCAGGGAACCATGGTGACCTCTTTTTTGTTGTTAATCCTCACCCAAGGATATTTTTTCCATTGAGTTTTAGAAAGAGTGGAATGGAGGAAGGGAGAGAGAGAAAAACATCAGTGTGAAAAAGACATATTGATTGATTGCCTGCTGCACATGCCCCAACCTGGGTCAGAGATTGAACCAGCAACCCAGGTACATGCCTTTGACTGGGAATCGAACCCATGTCCCTTTGGTATGCAGGCTAATGCTCTAACCACGGAGCCACGTACATACGTCAGGGCATGGTGACCTCTTAGCCGTCAAATTCAGTGAGGGTTCACGGATCCTCTGCCATTGGTCTGACTCCTTCACCGCATTTGTTTCCCTGGGTTACCTGCTTTTTCTGTAAAGGTTCTCTTCCTGCCTCACTGACCTCTCCTCAGTCCCTTCATTAGCTCCGCCCCCTGAATGGCAGTATCATTTATTTTCACAACTTCAACTCGTCATTGTGTAAACGACGCCCCAGATCTCTTTACCGAACTGCATGGCAGCTGCTCGCAGGACATGGGCGTGGAGCTGCCCTGCCCGTGCAGGGCGTTCAGATCGGACCCCCCCACCCCCTCCTCCTCCTCACCTTCCTTAGCTGAGTTAATTGCATCAGCCTATCACATGGAAAAGGGATTAGATCTATCCTGTCACCCAAGGCAGAGCGCAGCTCAACAAGAGGAAGAAATTGCTAATGATGAAAGCTGTCTGTAAGTGGAGTGGCCTGCTTCCGGAGATAGTCAATTTGATCTTTTGTCCCTGGAGGTGTTACGCAGAGGCTGGGCAGCCATTTGCCGGGATGTCGCAGAGGACGCTGAAAGTAAAGTGACAATCTAGACGTGATCTGCTCAGAAGCTTTTAATAGTTCCCCAGTGTTTTCTGGATAAAGCCGAACAACCTTTAGGGGAAACCTACTAAGCAGCAGGACCTTTGTTATTCTCTGGAAATTGCTCTTCAGATCCTTTTCATGACGTTACAAAGTAGACATTATCATTCGCGTTTGGCAGGTGAGAAAACGGAGACTCCAGGTAGACAGCCAAGTAGTTCCCAGACTGGGACTGGTTGTTCAGACTGCAGAGGGTGGTTCTCCTAGCATTTCCCCAACTTGCTGATGAGGGGTCGGCTGTCATGCTAGTGAAAATACAGATTCCCAGGCTCCTCTTCTGTCGATTGGCTGCACCAGGCTGGGGAAATGTATGTTTGTAACAAGCAATCAGGACAGCCAGGAATGACTACTTGTGTGTCACCAGAGACACTGGTTTGTTTCACTTGAACTACTGAGCGTGACACTTTCTTTAGCCCCTACTGCGTGGGAAGGGGTAAAGCCCAGGGCAGCTTGCTGTCTACACAGAAGACACCGAGCTGTATGTAGTTAGAGGGAAGGGGCCCTTTGCAGGTGGGGTTTCACCTCCTTTTTGCTGCTGTTTCAAGCCCTTCTGAGATGTTCCTCCCGCTTTCCCTTCCCCCGAGTTTCTCTCTTTCTCTGGTGCGCATGGGGTTGCCAAGCTGTTTTGAAGCAAATAACACCCTCTTACAGCTGCACTGATGCTCTAGCAGGTGAAGGCCTAGGGAGCTGCAGCTGTATGCACCACAGGGGGGACAAGATTTGGGGAGCAGGGAGCAGGAGGAAGAAGGGAAAACAACAGTGTTTGCAAATGAAACTTGGTTTCAAAGTCACTAGTGGCTTTGAAAGGCCTTCCCCACCCTTCACCATACTGGGGTCACCCCTTTTTTTAAAAATATGTTTTTATTGATTTCAGAGAGAGAGAGAGAGAGAGAAACACCGATCAGCTGCCTCCTGCATGTACCCCACTGGGGATCGAGCCTGCAACCCAGGTATATGCCCTGACCTGGAATCGAACCGGCAACCTCTCGGTGCACGGAGTGATATTCAACCACTGAGCCATACCCACCAGGGCTAGGAGCAGCTCTTAAATGGCATAGGCAGGATGAGCAGAGCCCCTCTTTCTGCCCAGTGTAGGGCCTTTGCCGTGCTGGCTAACTGACCTTGTACGCTGGAGAAGTCCACAGGAATGTGCCCCTC